ACAATGCCTTTCATGAGCTTTCATGGAATTTGCCAGGGACATAAAGTCTTAGGGTAACTTCTTTATCTGATTCCTATTATTACTATTTACCACCCCCCTTATATCTCTTAAGTGTCTCCTCTCCCATATATATTATCTTCACTAAAGGCCTCATTTAGTCAAACATGAACCATAACACCATTTCCATGTATAATACCCCTATTATGATGCCACTAAATTCCTATATATTTTAGCTCTTTCTTAATCTGTTATGAAAGTCTCTTTAATATGGACAAAAGTTTAACTAACACATCCATAAAAGTTATTTTAAAAGATCACCCTCCCAAATGAATCCTATCTTCGTCAGTATGCATAAATATTACACCATTTCTGGTAAGAAATAGAAAGGAGTTCATTTAGTTTTAGCTACAAAACATATTTATGGGGGGGGGGACAGACAAATTACCCCATTATTACAATTTTAAGATGTACATTTGTCACATTTTAAGGGTTCTTAAATTGATAGGAAACAACTTATATTTACATTTAAGGTGGTGGTATTAATTGTGATTCACAACATATGTAGTTAAATCAATGGTGCATCATACAATTAATATGTCCTAAGTGTGATAAAATATAATATTAATTGTTTTTCCAGTCCCCTACAGTACTCTTGTCATGGCTAGAGGTTTAAAACATATTTTATTATTAGGCTAATGTGGTGGAATAATATAATGATAAATTCAAAAATAACATAAAACATTAAATAGTGAATTTTATGGCAATGTGTACTGATTTTTATTAATATATTGTCTGTTAAAGAAGAATTCCATGAAAGCGGAATGTGCAGAACAGAAATTATAGTTATAACTATAATGACAGTGAATAGTGACTCCAATGGCATTTAACAGATGTTCTATTTTCTAAGTAACAGCTGCTTGATGCATTCATTGTACAAAGTTAATGATCTGCTAGTGTTATTTCACTTCACAGATAAATTACTATGCTCTCTTAAAAAAAGATGTAATTTTTCATGGGAATGATAGTGTAACAGACTTTAGAAATAAGTAATAGTTCTCATGCTTTTATAGCTAAGAGGAGTGATGAGTTGAGGCAATTATCCAGATAATCTAGGACCAGAGGCCAGATCCTTTAAACTGTGAAAGGTGATTACTTAAAAAAATACAAGGCATGGTTGGCTGAACTGCATGTAGATCTTTTAAGAGTGCTTGTATTGCATTATCTAGTGGTTCTCAAACTTCCCTGGCTATTAGAAACCACTGCCACCCTCAGACTAATGAAAAACAATAGCTGGGGGTGGACCCCAAGCACTGGTAGTCTTTTAAAGTTTTCTGAGGACAACTGGCAAAAAAAGAATGACACATTCTGTCCCAAGATTTTAATATGTGGTTGTCCACATTAGAAAGAAATAAGGAAAATCGTCATCATTTGCAGATGGCATTATATTGTACATTAAAAAAACAAACCTTAAGACCCAACAAAAAAACTACTAGATTTAATAAAAGAATTAGGCAGTGGAGCAGGATATAAAATCAACATCCAGAAATTCATAGCATTTTTATACACCAATATTGAATTATCAGAGAGAGAAAACTAAAAATAAAACTAAAAAAATCTATTTACCATTACAACAATAAATATTTATGTAACAATAGAAGAATATAAGAAGAATATAAGAAAAATGAATAAACTTAATCAAGGAGTCAAAGACCTGTATTTGAAAAACTACAGGACATTGAAAAAAAAATAGATAGAGGAAGATACAAACAAGTGGAAACATATACCGTGTTGATGGATCAATAGAATTAACATCATTAAAATGTCCATATCACCAAAGCGATCTATAGATTCAATGCAATCCCTATTAAAATACTAACAACATATTTCACAGATCTAGAACAAATACTCTAAAAAATTTATATGGCACCAAAAAATAAAAATCCCCCAAATAGCTAGAGCAATCTTGAGAAAGAACAAAGTTGGAGTAATCATAATACTGGATATCAAACTATACTACAAAGCCATTGTAATAAAAATGGCCTGGTACTGGCACAAGAACAGACATATAGATCAATGGACAGAACACAGAACCTGGAAGTTGACCCACATCATTACACTATATTTACACAGTGGAATACTGTGCAGATGTAAAAAAAGATCTCTTACCCTTTGAAAAGGAGGCATGACCATACAATGGAGTAAAGACAGTCTCTTCAATAAATGGTGTTGGAAAAATTGGACAAGTACATGCAAACAAATGAAACTGAATCACCAACTTATACCATGAACAAGAATAAACTCAAAATGGATAAAATGCTTAAATATAAGACGTGAAACCATTAAAACCCTAGGGGGAAAAAAAAAACACATAAGTAGCAAAATCTCAGACATATCACATAGCAGAATTTCACCAGTACATCTCCTGGGGCAAGAGGAAAAAAAGGCAAAAATAAACAAATGGGACTACATTAAAATAAAGGCTTCTGAACAGAAAAAAAAAATCACCAGTGCCCGGGTCTATGTGACTCAGTGGGTTGGAAGATCATCCCGTGTACCAAAACATCACTTGTTTGATTCCAAGTCACGGTATTTGCCCAGGTTGGAGGCTCCATACCAAATAGGGGTATGTAGGAGGCATCCAATCCATGTTTCTCTATCATGTCAATGTTTCTTTCTCTCCTTTCCCTTCTTCTATCTCTAAAATCAATTTCAAAAACATTTTTAAAAGAAAAGAAACCATCAGCAAAATGAAAGGGAATCCACTGTATGGGAGAATATTATATTTGCCAATGATACATCTGGAAATGAGTTAATTTCCAAAATATACAAAGAACTCATATGGCTTAGCAAAAAGAAAGACAAATAACCCAACTAAAAAATAGGCACAAGACCAGAATAGGCACTTCTCCAAAGAGGACCTACAGATGGCCAATAGACATGAAAAAATACCCAAGTCACTAATCACCAAAGAGATGCAAATTAAAATGACAATGAGGCATCACCTCATACCTGCCAGAATGCCTACAATGAACAAATCAACAAACCCGTGTTGGTGAGGATATGGAGAAAAGGGAACCCTAATACAGTGTTGGTGAGAATGCAGACTGGTGCATCCACTATAGAAAACAGTATTGAGTTTTCTCAAAAAATTAAATATGGAGCTGCCATTTGACCTAGTGATCCCACTTTTAGGAATATATCCTAAGAAGTCCAGAACACCAATCAGAAGGAATATGTGCACCCCTATCTTCATTGATAGCAGTCTTACTTATAATAGCTAAGATCTGGAAACAGCCAAGTGCCCATCAGTAGATGAATGGATAAAAAAGCTGCAGCACATTTACACAGTGGAATACTATGCAGATGTAAAAAAAAAAAAAAAAAATATTTTACCCTTTTTTAACAGCATGGATGGATGGATGGACCTGGAAAATATTACACTTAGTGAAATAAATCAGTCAGAGAAAGAAAAATGCCCCATGATCTCATTTATAAGTATAATCTAATGAACATAATAACATAATAAACTGATGAACAAAATAGGTGCGAGGTATGGAGGCATTGAACAGACTGACAGATCTCAGAGGGGAGTTGTGGGAAGACAAGAAGTGATTAAGCAAAGAACTTATGTATATACTAGAGGCCTGGTGCATAAAATTCATGCAAGAGTAGGCCTTCCGTGCCCTCCCTTGCCTGGCTGCGGGCACCAGCTTCCCGCTGGCACCTGGGACTCAGGCTTCCTTCGAACCCATGGCTTTGTCCGGAAGGATGTCCGGTCTAATTTCCATATTATGCTTTTATTATTATAGATATGCATAACCAATGGACAGAGGCAATAATGTGGTGAAGGCCAGTAGTAGCCCAGGAGCTGGAAGATGGTGGTAAGGGACAGAAAGTGGGGCACATTTGTAATACTGTCAATAATAGTAAAATTTTAAAAAAGCAAGTCCTGGCACCCTCTCGCCTCAAAATTTCCTCTGTAGAATGGGAGCCACCAAGGTACCTACCCTATGAGGACATGTTAAGATACTTAAATTATCATATAGACTCAGGCTTGAATTTAAGCTGGGGCTCTGTCATATCCCACTGAGGGATGCCTCAGTTTCCCCCTCTGAAAAGAGACATAGTTCATTTTCTGACACCCATGGGGGCTATTTTGAGACTCAGCTGCTTCCTATAATGACCCCCATTTGTTAAGCTTTATGTGTGCCAGGCTTGGTGTACTTGATTGCTCATCTGAGAAATAGAGCTAACAGGTAGAAAGATTCCAAAGAGAGAACATGGATGGAGCTCCCTGCATGGTACCTGGCACCCTGTCCAATGCTAGAAGCCTGGAGCTATGTTGAGCCCTGCTCTTCCGAGTCCTGTTATCACAGTGGTTGCTATATAATGCATCTAGCACTGGTCTTGCACACAGCCAGAGCTCAATAAATGCCCTCTTTGAAATTAAATAAACCTGGCTCTAATCCTGGCTCTAAGGCCTTGGACACCTCATTTTCTCTTTCTGAGCCTTGGTTTGCCACCTGAGAAACAGGCTCACCACAGGCACTGGGCAGGAGTAGTATCCAGCACCCAGCAGAGCCTAAGACTGAATGGCCAGGATGGCAAGTGTTAGGCTGAGCATTTGTATGTAGGCCCCTGGGTGAAAATGACCTCACTCGCTGACAGGTCAGTAGGTCAACCTACCCTTCAACCTATGACATGCTTCCCCCACCTATGACCTTACCTTCAGAGTGGCCAGTGGAACTCTGAGGGGTCTGTGAGGTCACCCCATTCCGCTCCACTAACACTCTCGTAAGGCAGCAGCCACTGGCTGTCTCTGTCCCGGGGAAGCTTCAGAGACCCTGGGTCTTGGGAGCCGTGGTCACCCCCAAGCTCCTGAGAGGGACACAGAACACTGGGAAACCAACGACAGGGAGGTGAGAACCAGGGGCAGAAGTCTCGTGGGTGTGTGGAGTGTCCTTTACCAATTCCAGGAGGCCCACTGCCACCAGGCCACCATGGTCTTTGGCTGGCTACTTCTCCTGGTGATGGCTCTCTCCCTTGTCACAAGAGGCACCAAGGACTGCATCTTCTATGATCTGACCGAGTCCTTGACCTACCCTGGCATCAACAAAGACTGCATACTGTCCACTCCCTATGAGCACCATGAAGAGCCTGTCACCTACAAGCTAATCTCCATCTGCCATTATGGTGAACTGTGTAAGAGGGCCCCAGCTCCTGCAGATCGCCTGAAGGCTGGGATCACCACAGGCCGGATGCTGCGTGTGCTGCTGCTACTTCAATGACTGTGACCATGTGGAGGACAGGGCCAGTGACTAGTCTAAGGACCCCGCTGCTCCTTGTGCCCTCTGCCCCTTTGTCTCCCTCTTCCCCCATTAAATAGCCAGAGGCCCTAAACAACAAATAAAATATTAATTTAAAAAATTCATTTTTCATAGGAATGATAGTGTAACATACTTTAGATATAAGTAGTAGTTATCATGCGGCTATAGCTAAGAGGAGTGATGAGTTAAGACAATTATCCTCACAATCTAGGACCAGAGGCCAGATTTCTTTAAACTGTGAAAGGTGATTACTTAAAAAAAATACAGGGCATGGTTGACTGAACTGCATGTAGATCTTTTAAGACTGCTTGTATCACATTATCTGGTGGTTCTTTAACTTCCCAGATTATTAGAAACCACTACCACCCCTCAGACTAATAAAATCAGAATCTCTGAGGTTGGGCCCCAAGTTCTGGTATTCTTTTAAAGTTGTCTGAGAACCACTGGCAAAACAGAATGACAAGTTCTGTCCCAAGATTTTATTGGGTGAGTGTCCTTGCATTTTAGAATTGGAGTGGCAACAGAAGAATAATTAGGGAACTTATCATTGTTCTTCCTCATCTCTGAAAGAAATGGGAAAATCAAATTGGCTTGTTACCTAAGCGGCTAGACATCAGTTTTCATGTATTATTTAACACCCTGAATTAAATTCAACATTTTTACATGTTTCTGATTCTCTGGGGCAACTCTTGGCATCCCAAGATTAATGTTAATAATGCCTAATTGTCAATTTATGAAAACTGGCAGATCTGAGATATCCAAAAACTGATGGATTTAAAGTATTATAGGACAAATATATTTTCTGGAATTATATTTTATCATTTTAATTTTTAGGTAATACTGTTGATATTAAATAGAGTTAATGTAGCTGAATTAATGGTTTTAAAATTTTGATGACTAAAACTAAATTAGAAGTAAATAAAAAAGGTTAAATCAGAAAACTGCTTAGATTAAACTGTTGAAAATTGTATTTTCCAAACATAATGATCATAAATATAAACTTCTACTTAATCACATAGTATTTACTTTCCTAATTTGTGCTCAATTCATGTCAAATAAGTGTGGCAGTAATATGATATTAGAATAGATTTAATTTATCTAATGATTCAACATGATTGTAAGACATTAATAAATAATATTTAAAATCTAAAAGGACACCAGTGGCAACTGACTATACACTATACTATGCAATAAATGCACACAGGATTTTCATTTTATTATTTTCCTGTAAGTGCATATATTCTGCTCTTTAACCATTGTGCATTTTATTCTCATTGTGCATGATAAATACTTTTTTGTTACTTTGAGTTAGATTATCTTAAAATTACTAGAAAATAATATTTATAACAATAATTATAATAGAAAAAATCTATTGAAGTCAGAGATGGTACTGGATTCTAGTTATAGATTTTCTCTATACTAGGACTTCAATTTTCTCATCTACAAAATGGAAGTATTTGAGCCCATGGTTGTTCATGTTTCCGCTTGTTCTAAAGCCTACCATAAATTTCTATAGCACATCATCATTTTCTCTTCTTTCAAGAAATGTTTTAATTTTGTCTCTTAAATTGCAATTACTCTTATTGAACAGGTGTTTATTGAGCATGTACTTTGTGCAAGATATGATGTTACATGCATGTGAAACACCAAGGAACAAGACAGACATTTTCCCTGTTCTTTTGGCAACTGAAATTGTTAAGATCCACTTAGTAGTTGAAGAGAGTAGAAGTTACCAGGATAGCTCAAGGATCTTGTGCAGTACTGGTGTGCAAACTTGCCAGGAGCTGGGAATCTCTCCTTGTTTTACCATTTCTTTCCTCTGTTGCTGTTTCTATTCTCTAGACATCAATCAGTGTTTCCCATCTCAACCTGGATAATTCTAGTCACAGAAATTTGTAAGGTATGAAGGAAGATAATATGTCTGATCACTTATGGGGTAACAAATGCCACAGATACAATTCCGTTGTGGCATCTCAGTTGTCCAGAACACACAACTAGGAGTGTTCCTTCTTTTAACAATCTTAATATGAATGTCCCCTTCTTTATCACTACTCTGATGGAGCATGTTGTTTGAATTTATCAATAGTGTGAAAGGGCTACTGGGCTTTAGGAATTTTAAATTAGCATTAAAGTTTAATTTTCAATTCCTACTGTTAAACTTTTATGTTATTATTATAAAATATCTGTTTCCTGTTATTTTATATTTTAATAAATCTTTATTGTTCAGCTTATTACTAGATGTTCCTCTCCCCCTACCCTCTTAGCTCCCCTCCACATACAAGGGAGTACCCATATGACTGTCAGTTGATTTCTCAACAGAAACTATGCAGGCCAGAAGGGAGTGGCAAGAAATATTCAAAGTGATGAATAGCAAGAACCTACAACCAAGATTACTCTACCCAGCAAAGCTATTATTTAGAATTGAAGGTCAGATAAAGAGCTTCACAGACAAGAAAAAGCTAAAGAAGTTCATCACCATCAAACCAGGATTTTATGAAATGCTTTAAGAATAGGAAGAAGGAGAATAGGGTAACAATAAAAATTATGAATAGCAAAGTGGCAACAAATACATATCTATCAACAAGCGAATCTATAAATTGAGTCAATAAAAAATCTGATGAACAGAATAAATAAATATAATAGAATCAGGGGCATATAAAGGGAGTGGACTGGAAATTATTGGGAGGAAGGAGATGTGAGGGGTGCGAGAAGAGATTGGACAAAGATTTTACACCTGTGGTTGAGGACAGTGGTGGAGGGAACCGAATAGATGGGTGCTTCCTGTTATTTTTAAATATTTTATTTCTGCTTCTGAAATATTTGAACTTCCTTTTCAATTTATCAATTCCCCCCATCCCCAACTGCAATCTGGAAGTATGGTCATAAGGTGGGAGATGATAGAACAGTTTTCTTGCCTCTGGCTGTGCCTCCAGCTAACTAATCTGACCACTACCCTAGCTATTTTCAGAACTTCTTCCACTCTTTCCCCATGAGATCAGTAAAAGTCTGACCTGGGATTCCTAAGAGATTATCAAGGTTATAATCCTTAGCAAGTAGACAATAACTGTAAACACCTAAAATTACGATAGTATCTTCTAGAAGAGCTTAGTGCCCTAACATCTGTAGTTTTGAATGTGTAACTAAAGAATTCTGAGTAGAAGGGAAACGAAGATGAGAAAGTCCAGATATGGTACTGGATTCTAATTGACCTTTCCCTGACCTAGCAAAAGAATCCTACAGAGCCAAACTCCAAAGACTCACGTCTGAAGAAGATATGGCAAAAGTCCATGATCAGGCTCATGAGACTGTTCTGCATGGAGGAATGCTGATAGATAAATGGCAACAGAAACTTTTTAGTATGTTTATTATAACAATATTAATAAGGGTGCTTTCTCATTCACTATTTTTCCAATTTTTCTTCTGATATAAAATCAAGAGAAGCCTGCAAATGACTAGTACATTAAAATATTTTAATGACTGTTTTGGTAATGTGGACATTTTGAATCTCATCAGTATAGTTCCTTCCATAACATTTATTCAAAATGAATACATTCTAGAGATCCGATGTACAGTATTGTGCCTCTAGTTAGCATGACTATATTATACACTTACAACATATTTCAGTGGATAGACCTCATGTTAAGTGTTATAACTATAGAAAAAACATGTTTACTTGTTTGTTTTGTCTTATAGGAAGCTTAGTGCCAAATTTTGAAGCTTTATTCTTCCCTGTTTATTCCACCCACCATGGGATACTATGAGCATAATTCTGTACAAAATGTCTATTATTTTCCTACTGCAATTTTCCCTTTCTCTACTATTTTGATTTATTTATCTTTGACAGTTGAATGTACATGTATGTCTTTGAGCCACATCAAATAATATTTTTTCTGGAGTTAGATCTATAATAAGTATGATTTAAATATAATAAAAATAAAACTGAAAATATTGTATTATAGTCAATATATTTGAAAGTAGGCTATATTTGCTTAAACTAAAGGACAAATAAACATTTCATTAGTAATTTTATTTTATGTATAAAATATTTTTTATCCAGATACTTAAGTATTTTCAGATTTAAATAATATAATGTTCTTATATCAACAGAATTGAGAGAAATTCAGCGGAAATAAATAAAACAGTTTAAAAAAATAAATTGACTCTATATTCAAATTTTCTCCAAATCAAAATACTTGGAATGACTGGCAAATACCTTTAATGTATTGCATGTAAATAAATACTCAATTTATTTTAAAAGACATCTGAAATATATCCTTTGAAATGCAGATGACACTAACATTTTGAGTCAAGTTCTCCAACTACCAAGAAAGTATGTGAAATAAGAATGTAATAAGGAGGCACAGGGATTTCATATATGAGAGTTTGATTATTTTCATGTTAAAAATTAGAATAATATATATGACTGCTGTAGATCTGTAGGTCACATGTTCTTATTATATGATTATAACTTTTGAAAAAGCTCTAGCACCTTAAAAATGAGTTTATTAAAGATTGTGCAATTTAAATGCAAATGTGTATACTTTGCTTTGACCACTAAGAGGTTTCAGAGTGTATAATTAGGATTTTAGTGTTTCAAAAGATCCAGAAGGAGCAATATGTTATTATATAAATAAGACATGCCAGCTTTCTATACTTTTTCCTGATGGAGCCCAAATTAGTACTGCTCCTTGATTTTATAGAAAACCAGCCGGATGCAAAAAGCTGACATATCTCCAGACCACTCAAGCCTTCTAACATGACAAGGATAATCTAGAAATATTTGCCACGTTCATTATTTTATAATATTTTAATGATTTTAGGGTGGGGCTAACACAAAAATATCTCTATAGGTACTTATGCAGTGACCTTTAAGGGGAGTTCACATGTGGCATACTTTTATGACTTCATCTCAGTTTTAAATTGGAGCCAATTTTTTAAAATATATTTTATTGATTTTTTTC